GTCTTAATATCAGAAAAATCTGTTTTGTGACATTATGTCAATAGAGAGAGAATTATGCGAAGAAGAAAAAATAGTGCTTATTGTGTCAGGTGGTGCAAACAGGCATGTTATGCAAAAATGCTTATGGTCCTAAATGCACCCTTAACTTTGTGTGCCAGAGTACTTTCATTTCTGTTGTTTTTCGTGCTGATCTTTGAACCAGGTATTGACATTGTGTACTCCTGAGCCATTGTTTTCACCTCTCTCTTTCCTCTTCATCTTGGTTGCTCTTTTGTGTCCTATCTTACTAATGATTCACTCTGAGCAATCTATCACATCGTTCAAAAAAATTTCATGGAGCAATTTTATCCAGATATTTTGGGGGTTCCCCCTCCCCCAGCAGTATTGCAGGTAGATGTAGTACGCAGATGTTTATAGATCTAAAATATGTTTTTGAAAGATTAGTTAACATTAGTTAATGCTTTCAGGTGGTTTGGATAACAGCTGTGAGCTTTCAGGGTCTATAAGGGGAAAAGTAGTAGATTACTGTGACACAGAGCTGTTTGGAAAGTATCCAGTAAAAATTTGAATCTTTTCCAGGAAAATAGACTTTGAATGTACTGACTATAACAAGAGAGCTAATTTGTTAGTGGGTTTATTGTCACGTTTGATCTCTTAAGATGTGTGGGGAAAAGAATTAAACTAAGCATCAATATTTAGAATTGCAGTTGTGAAAATTAGTGGTACTCAGATAAGAACCTTTTGCAAAGCATTTTTACCCATTTGTTTAGACATGGCATTGGAAGTTAGTTGTTTTACCCTGTGTTACTGTAGAATATATAGAAGAGTACTGAGAAAATTTAAAAAACAGATTAATAGCAAACAGATGTTATCTCTTATTTGATATATGTTAATAAGTTTTGGAAATTTTACTTCAGTTTTGATACTGTGCTGATTTAAAAAAGCATTTTCATAAACTTATTACAAAAAATGCAGTGTGTTGTTTATTTGCTTGATGTGTTTTTTTTTCCCCTGGGATTGCCCTTGCTTTTATATTTTTGCATCTTGGACATTTCTTAAAAACATTGCAATCCAGTAGTGTTCTGTAGGTTGTATTTCTAGGTAGCTAACTGTTGCTGTTTTCATTTTTAAATAGTTCAGGAATATTTACAGTGCAATAAAGCCTGATGTACTGCCTTCACAAGTTATGCACTAATCCTGAAAACACATGCATGCTTGACTTTAAGCATAGTGTAGTCAACTGTGTTAGGATTGTCTAAAGCTAACCACATGCTAAGTGTTCATGAATGATATGAGTAAGGATAACACATTAAAAAGTGGAGATGGGAGGGGAAAAAAGCAAAAGTGTTACAGCAAAATCAAAAAAATTGATGTTGCTCAGTTGACTTACTTTCAGGCTTTCCTTGCAAGTTTTTAAATTGTATCTGATTTTATGATCTCCTATATTCATTATATAGGCAGAAACGGGTGTAAAACTTTCTTCTGTAGTGGAATATTTGTTTGGGGAGAATATCTGAAAATGTAAAACCAGCTGTCTTACTGCTCCATCTCTGGCATTTTGAGAATTACAGAGGGTACCATGTTTTCTAGCATTTAGTAGCACTAACCTGATGCCCAGTGGATAAGGTAGTTCCCTGTATTTTTCAAATGTTCCCTGTAACCAAGCAGCTGTGTACAGGTCACCCTGCAAGCTGATATTCACCAATGACATGTGAAAAAGCAAAACCAAGCTGTGAATGTTGTGAGTATTTGAATGTAGTAATGGATTTCAAAGATCTGGAAATGGCAGTTAGAGATGCACTGTCACTTTCTCTCTCTGCCTTCTTTCCCCCCCCCCCCCCCCCCCCCCCCCCCGCCATGATTACTGCCAGCTTTGTCCCCACGATGGATTGTATTCTGAGGGCAAGAGTCTGCCCAGTATGTCATTTGGATTATTTTCATTTCTATTTTTGGACCAATGTCTCACTTTTGCCATACAACATTGCGTGTCATGTTAGAGGAGGTTATGGTCCTTTCTTGCACCAATGCAATCATTGTTCACAATCCTCCTCTTGTTAAACTTTTAGTCCCACTCCAGTCTAACAAAATGCATGACTTCCAGGAGTCCCATCAGTTTGTCCATGTCTCTATGTTATTTTCAGATACAGACATCTTAGGCAATAATAGAATTTTGTGTGTTATTTAGATTTATTTAACAATTTAGTTTTCGTTTTGTGTGGCTAAATCGAACCAAAATTCTGCCATGTCAGTAAATGACAATTTAATGACTGTGGAGATCATGTTCTTTCTAGATTTCAAGTTCCCATCACTTTGCATAGAAGAGCCTGATCTATTCATAACCATATGGTTTTCCATGGCAGGAGGGCTGTGGGGTTGTGTTTTGGGTTTTTGTTGTTGTTGTTGTTTTTTCTCCTCCCTCTCTTCACTTATTTTCAGTGTTCTGCAGTTCAACTTGCAGGGAAAATGCATCAGTTCTTGGCCAAGAGGGTTTGGGTCAAACATGATATTCTGGGTAATCTCAAGCCACTAGGCACTGTCAACCCTAGGTGTCATCACACACAGTACTCTTGGCATCCATGTTATTTCTAGAAAACGTTAAGGTTGTTTGGTACATCCAAGTTAGTAAGACAGCAGCGCAGGCTCTGCGAGCTATGTTGCAAAATTCCCAACACACAGCAGTCAAACAAGGATTACATTTCAGATGCAGTATTTTTTTTGTGTTTTTGTTTTTTTTTTTAGCTCTTTGCAAACCATCCTGTATCCATAGAGGAGGTCAAATAATGCGGGTTATGTAGATCAGTGGGCAGATCTGTGTAACTTGTACAGTACTATGCCATGAGTGTCCCTTATCTTGTATCCTTGGATCACTGATGATACAGTTAATGATGGGAACAGTCTGTCACTGCTGATATTCTCAGGCCCTTCTCAAAGCCAGTGCCTCAAGCCACTAGCAGATTCAGGTAAACATCATCTTGCTTTGGTTTATAGCATGTTTGCAAATGGGAGCTGGAAATTCCTTATTTAAAAAGAAAATTGAGACTCCAGAACACAGGATGTTTTGTCTATTTCTTTTCTTCCCCTATTCCCTCTTCCCCTATTCCCTCTTCTCTATTTCTCTCCTCTGTGCTTCCTACCCTGTCCCTCCCCCAAATCCCGCATGTCAGCTTGTTCTGTGGCTGTAAGGCAGCCCCATTCAGTCACTGAAGCTCAACAATACACAGTTGGCTCTTGTTCTATTTTGTTGTAGTTAATTTTAAATTCTGAGCAATGAAGCATCCTTCCATAAGAGCATTTCAAACAAACAAAATGTGTTTGATACATTGTACAAAGAAGGGAAACTACTAGGATGACATGGGTTCGCAAGCAGGGAAAAGACTGATCCTTTTCCACCTAGAAGAATCTCGTTTTTGTTTCTTGGTGGTGGTGGTGGTGGTTTTTCCTTCCTTCATGTTCCTTTCCCTCCTTTCCTTGACTCTGGGCTAAGCTGGATGACACATACTTGACACTGCCATTCGGATTCCATAGCATGGATTGTATTTTGAAAAGTAAGAAAAGGACCTTTAAAAGACCTTCCTAAACGTTCATAGGAAGGTATTGGGAGACTGTGTGTAATGTTGAGGTATGTATTGTGCTGTGTGTGAATTGCATTCTTTTACTTTCAACTCACCGTTAAATAAAGATTCATGCTAGGGAGAGGAGGGAAAAAACAAGTGAACGGCATATTGTTTCTTGATTGATTAAAGAGCTGGAGTGAGGTGGGAAATGAATTTGGATTCAAGTGAAAAACAAATAAAAGGACTTGAATCTTCACAATTAGGAATTTAAAATGGAATGTTTTTATGTAAAATAAGTTTTTATTTCTCCTTCCTCTAAAGCCCTTTATGAAAACATGCAGGGGAGAGTACAATCCTAGAGGACTTTTGATTTGATTTACCATGAGTCCTGAGAAGTGACAGCTTAAAAACTAAAAGCAAGTTTCAAAGCTAGTAACTGTATGAACAGAAGTTAGTTGGATGGTTAGCAGGCAAGCCATAGACCTGAACAGATCTCTCTTGGGATATATTTAACATAACCTTTTCTCTTTTTTTTTTTCTGCCTTCCCATTCAACAGCAACAAACAATGTACCCCACAGTGGTTAGTATAGTGCAGAGCTTGATGCAGCCTTGGTTGAGATCAAGCACTCCAATTTGAACCTCTCAAGGGCTTTCTCTGTGTTGCCAGTGTACTGATAAAAATGACTTTAAACTCTTGTCAGCACAGTTACTGGTGCATGCATCACAGTCCCACTTAAATAAACCTGTCACAACACAGAGTCAGCAGCTAGAGAAGAGTACAAGGGCAGGCCTCTAGCTTTTCATTCGAGCATCACTAAATGTGCACAGAGTGCCCAATTATTTCAGCATTATTGAGCAAGCCTACAGGAGGACCCAAGCCTTGCTACATTAGATTTTCTTTAGTAATTTGCTCAAGTACTGCTGAGGACACTTAAAGGGCTTAAAATGGTGGCTGCAACCAGTTTCCTTTTCTGGATTGTTAATTCAGGTTTTCTCTTTCAAATTAACTCTCACTGCATACTGTGCAGTAGCGCTGGGAGAGCTGCTTAATACTAATTTTCTCAATTTTCAGACTTTTTTTTTAATATATATAACTGCTTTTATAGTTACATGTTTTGATTAGACGTGTACGTGGTGTGTTTCTGCTAGGAAGAATAAAATCTAATAGCTCTGTCAGAAGAATAAGAATTTCACCAAAACTGGAAAATTTCTTTACTTTAGTCTCTTATTTTTGTTGCTGTTTAATTTGGCACGAGGTTCACAGATTGTGTTGTGTTCAAACACAAGGACATTTTAAAAATGCCAGGATATTTTTGTGACCCTACATCTGTCTGAATCAATCAGGTGTATTGATTGATCTGATCAATTACATCTGATGTACGTGATCAATCAGACAACCCCCTGTTCCCTGAACAAATTCAATATCTATGTTTCATTTTTCACAGCAGCAACAACTCCAGGCCCAGCATTTGTCACATGGACATGGTCTCCCCGTGCCTCTCACCCCACACCCCTCAGGCTTGCAGCCTCCAACCATCCCACCCATTGGCAGCAGCACTGGCCTTCTGGCACTGTCTAGTGCGCTGGGTGGGCAATCTCACCTACCGATTAAAGATGAAAAGAAGCACCATGAAAACGATCACCAAAGAGGTAGGCACTGCCAGATGTGTGCATGGCTTTGTTCATTTTTCTTTGCTTCTCTTTTTCTTTAAAAAAAGAAAAAAGAAAAATGACAGGAACTCCTAGCTAATTGCTTCAGTATTTATTACCCAATTGTAGTTGGAAAGTGCATTCAAATGGTAGAAATCAGGTTTTATAAATCTGGCTGTACAGTATTAATTAACTGTACAGAAAAATTAACATCTATGCAATTTATTATTTAACAGACATGAGAATTCTTTCTTCCAAGTAGGATAAATGTATAATTTTATGTAAACTAACTAGTACTTTTCTCTTTCTCTCTCCTCCCACCTCCTCATCCCCTGCTGCTGCCACCACTGCTTCCTCCTTCACTCATCACCTGTTGTGGCTGTTCTGCCTGCAGACAGAGACTCCATCAAGGTAGGACTCTTTCATAGGTGGAAGGATGGACTTAAAGAGCTGCACGCTGCATTTTATTGAAGTATGAACTGGAATTGTGGAAAATGTCACAAACTGAAACTGGATTGTGACATGCATGTTGATTAGCAGAAATGTAGACTACGTAATACATTTAGAAAGTGGCTGATTATATGTATTCTATAACTAGGATTGCACATGACTTGCTATCCAGTGAGTCTAATGATCACATTTTTGCTCCTAGGCTGACTCTTCAGAATTGAGCCTCTTCCTGTACATGGGAAGAGAAGGCTGTTCTGTGAGCTTATGAAACAAAGAATTAGCCAGTAGTTTTAAAACTTCAAAGCCTGTAAAACTATAATTCTGATATATCCTAATGATATACTCTTAATGCAGATATAGCAAGATCAGTCACTCCCAGGAAAAAAGTGGAGTCCTATCCGCTATTGTTTTAAAGTAGTTAGCTCAGTGGGAGAGGAAAGGCCTGTTATTCTCTAGTCCACAGAAGATGGCAATCACGTTAAGGCTCTTGTATTCCACTCCCAAAAGTTAATTTCCAAACACTGAATGACTCTGTAGTGTACATATGTGCACCATCCTGTAAATGGTAGTGTTTATAGATTAATATATAACTGTGGCTCTCATAATTTTGAGCATTCTGTGATATATACTACTGTGATTCAACATATGTGCCTGGATGCTGGTCCATACTCGAGAGCTATCAAATTCTCATAGAGGCTCCTGTGATTTTAATGCTGCAAGTGGAAGCGCATCTTCTCTCTGCCCTCTCCTAGCTCATTCTGCTTTCCTAGCTGCCACTGGCAGTTTATCAAGTCACAGCAGACCCAGTTGTTGCCAGTTACACAGTTACCTACGTATTTCTGAGTAATTAGATATATTTACTCATCAGAGCTTGAATGGATCGCACAATTTTTAGGAGCATACAAATAAGTCTTTTTAGGTGATGGTGAGTGTGAAATGAGAGATGCTTATCTCACAAAGAGTAAGACACATGTGCCCAACTGACTGAACACTTGGAATCAATTTATTAACTTTTCAATGGTATTTTTTAGAAATAAGTTATTCATACTTGGTTGGCCAATGGCAAAAGAGATATTAATTAACAAAAATCTTAGGTGTGTTTGACAAGATTACCAGATAGTTTCCAGGAAGATGTTATTTGCGTGTCCGAGGTAGACTGATCAAAAGCACGCCACCTGGGCTTCAGCCTTGCCCCCAACCAGGGATCTGCCACTGTGCGGGTTCTGGTGTGATGGGGTATTCCTTTGCTTTTCTGGCAGCTCCAGGTGGGGACATGTCCTGTACCCTTTCCCATCATGTCTATTCTGCCACCGGCAACTTTGCTGGGTCCCAGCAGAATGAAATTGAGCTGATTGTTGTCAGTTTTACTGTTACTCACATGGCTCTGCATAACAACCAGGACCTGACAGGAACTTTCAGTTTTTTCTGCGAGCTGCAAAGGCACCAAAGCTGTCTATCAGCAGACATAAGACAACAGCACGTCAGTTTTCACTTCAACTTACTTTGTCACAAGGACTTGACACTGGCATTCTTGCTTTATGCAAATTGTGCACAACTTAATGATGATTTCCTTAGAACATCCCTGTTCACCATGGACAAATAGGTCAGTAGATTTTCCCACCCCCCTGCACCTGAACAAATAAAGAAAGATAGGGCAGATTTCTAAATCTGAGAATACGAAAGTACTTGGTTTCCTTAGTGAGTCTGCATACCTGTATAGCTGGAACCACAAACGTTTCACTTAGTAAAGTGAATGAAGAGAACTATTAATATATAGGGTATACTAATCACTGTTTTCCAAGGAAATATGTTAGTACTGTTCCTATAATGTCTGTGGGATGTTGAGGTATTTATGCTGGCATGCGTATTACAGGGAATATTTATACCAAAAAGGTTGATTTTGTTTAATTCATCTGCAATTATTTAGAATGACTCAAATGCACAATTATGCATACAGCTTTGGAGACTGAGAGGAAGGTGTGACTACTTTGTACTGGTTTATTTTGAAATGGTAACTATAAATAGATGTCTGTCTTGCACAGTGTTCAGGTTGTGAATTGGATTGTGTGTCAGCATATGGGACTTGCAGCCAGCTTTGCAAGGTGAAATAGTTTGCTAATTTCCTTAAATGTTTTCAGTGATGCCCAGAATAGCAGTTAGTTGCTTGTTCTATCAATCTGTCCTCCCTTAAGTGGCTCCTGGTTAAGAGAGGCTTTTTATGATTGTGTACTGTGTGACCTGATGGTTTTTGTCAGCCAGAATGTGCCAGTTGCCAGCAGCTGGAGTCTGTGTGCATGTATGAAATAATTTATTCATGCAGGATAATACTCCTTAACATTTAACAGGTAATGAACATGACATAAATTTCCTTCTTGCTTTTAATTTTTCCTTTTCCTCTTCTAATGTGCAAACAGACAGGTCTGGTACACTAAACAATAAGTAATTTTTGGCCATCTGTCAAAAGGAAATTTCAATACAAATTTAAATTAATGGTGCCTGAAATTTTTTATAGCTCCTCTAAAAGCCTCTAATGTGCAGAAAATTCTGAATCTGCTGGTAGTAATTAGTGTAGCATATAATGAGGATATGGGCAACGGTATACAGTCCCAGTGTAACATTTTGATATGGTAGCAAAATTTTGATTTATACAAGGTTGTGGCTGGGTTTAATTGTGAGAGGCACTTTAAAGTGTTTTCTTGCTGATACAGATTATTAAGCAGGGCAGATTTTAGAATAGCTCATGAAAGTGTAAATGTAGGCTTTACTGTAGGATTCGGGTAATTATGGTACCCCACCCATTGGTACAAAGAAAGGAGTTCAATTGAAGTGTCCTGTTCCCCTCATTTTGGAAATCTCTTGCCACTAGTTCCAGTGCTTTTGACTTGTCAGGCAGTTTTCTTCATTAAACTTGGTGTCTCTAATTATGCTTGTCTTGACCCTCCTTTTAGTTGTGCCTGGGGATGTAGGCAACGGCTGATTCACCAACACTGTTAACTTTAGACTTCCATCCAAGCAGGGGGACCCGCGGTATGAGATTACTCCCTTCAGACAAGTAGTAGGGAGTGAGGGTGATGGGAAGGGCTGTGTAACACTACTTGCACGCATGGTTTTACAGGCTCTTCAGGGAGTGTGGTGGAAAACTCATTTGTGTCACAGCTGAGCACTGAAGCCAAGAGCAGCAGTTGGAGCCACGAAGTAAGGCAGGCTGACATCAAAAGCCAGTTCTTCAGGCACGGTACTATTCCACTTTATATCACCCTTCTAAGTGCAACATATTCTGCCCGATAAAACAAACCGGGCTTGGTTCCTTCCAGATACCTCTCTGGAGTGAGCAGTTTGCTGCTGAAACAGAGTAGGGACCTTCCTGATACCATGAGATGTCCAGGAGCTACTCCTAAATAATAGATCAGCGTCAGCATGACAGGCTCCGTGGAGGAAAGCAGCTTGGGGAGCTTTTTGATTTTGTGCTGGATTCAGTCCTCAGGATCCTTTGCAAAGTTTGAAGTGTGGGAAAACTCTACGCCTCGTAAACTGGGTCACGCTACTGCTCTTTGTACAACTGGTAAGGGAGCACATCGGGCAAAAGGAAGGGAAGGGGTGACAAACATGAGGGCTTTTCTAAAAGTGTCTTAAGGGCTCTGAGGGAATACAGTGTGTTTAGGCAGACAGACAAACAAGCAACACTGCAGTTAACTGTGCGGCTTTTCACAAAAGATTGTGTGACTCCTTTTCTTAAGCAGTAAAACTTTATTTATTTGTTTATTTTAAGATTATTCTGTCGTGGATTCTTACTTGCAAATTGTGCCCCTCAAGGATTTTTCCACCTCCTGTAAGACTTGCTGGTCTAAGAGATATGTTGTTTGTCCCAGCCCTGGTCCTCACCTACCCTCTCTGGGACAAGTTTGACAAAAGTTTCTCCAGTCCCTAACAAAGTCCCTTCTGTAAAAAAACGTTATCCTGTGAAAAAACTAAGGAAGGAAGTATTTTGTAGAAAAAGGTATAATCTGGCAGAAAGTAATTTAGCACTAGTAGTTTCTTCCTGTGACTCTTGCTGTCTGCAGTGACACCTGGAGTAAGGCATCCCCCTGATGCTAGCTGGGTTGTGGGTCAGACAGAGATAGCCAATGATGTCTCTTACAGTTTATTCAAAAATTTCAGTCTTCTGAATCAGTCTTGTACAGAAGGTTGAACTCATGTAATTTTTTTCCACTTCTGTTGTTAAGCTAGTTGTGTTGTTCATTACACTCATTTGGCGCATCGCTTTTTTTTCCACTTGAATTGTAAATTATTTGGGACAGATCATGTCTATAGTTAGGCATTCCAACACAGTGGGGACTCGGTTTATCTTGGCATTGGGGGTTACTGTTTCTGCAGCAATAAGAGCTGATAATTAAAAGCTGCAGTCTCATTGCAGGAATAAAAAACTAGCCTGTTTAAGACTCCTCTGGAAAAAAGGCTCAAAGGAAAGGATAATTTCGCTTCTGATATAACGTATCAAATGTATCCATGTATGTTTTGGTGGAATTTCTGTCCAGCATGTTAGTGAACTAGAAGTCTGTCAGGGCAAATTCAAGTGGATTTGGCAATAAGATTATTTTTGCCTTAATCTGTGTGAAGGCCAATAGGTATATAGATGTGGCAAATGCAGAGGAAGTGGAGTGGTGTGATTCTCATGTTCCATTTAAATTCCTGTTGGCAGGTGCTCCAGTGCTTGCTAAAACCTGAGCCTGTCTCAATTTAGCTCCTTGTGTTGTTAGCCACTATTGAATGTTTAGGCCTCTGTTCATTAGTATGTAAGAAAGAGTAAGCTACTCACTCCTGCAGTTATAATTTGATACTTTTTTTTAAAGTTATATGAATATAATGCTTCTGCAAAGAGCAAGGTAGTTTAAAATCAGAAAGTCCAAAATATATCATTGTACTTTTGGTATTACCAAATGTAATTACATTGCTGTGACTTC